TCTTGTTGGATATAATGACCGTACTAAAGGATACAGAATTTACATGCCACATGCAAACCACGTCATGATCAGAAGAAGCATAATATTCGATGAAAACAAAAAACAAGAAATGCCTCGTCAATTAAATGATCAGCATGAGGAAATAGAATGGCCTTTTAAAGAAAATAAATTGACAGAACCACGTCCAAATGCTATTACAGAAGAAGTAATTGAAACAGAAGAAATTCCCCTATTACCGAGAAGATCCCACAGAACGACTAAAGGAATCCCACCAAACAGATTCTCATACATGGCTAAGAATGAAGAAATCAAAGTTCCTAAAGACTGGGAAGAACTGCAAACTTTTCCTACCAAAGAAAAGGAACTGTGGTTAAAAAGCTACGAAAAAAAAAAGAAATGGAAGCACTGAAGAGGAACAAAAAACATGGGAACTAGTCGATCTTCCAAAAGGAAAGAAAGCAATTGGAAACAAATGGACATTTAAAACAAAATCCGACGCTTCAGGAAATATTATCAGATATAAAGCTCGTTTAGTAGCTAAAGGATATTGCCAAAAATTTGGGCATGACTACGACGAAACATTCGCACCAGTCGTAAAGTATACAACAATAAGGACTATTTTGGCAATAGCAGCTCAAAAGAAGATGCACGTAAATCGCTTCGATGTAAAGACAGCTTTTCTATATGGAAATCTGAAAGAAGATATATATATGAAGCAACCAGAAGGCTACATCTCCGCTTCAGAAGCAAATAAAGTCTGTAAACTGAATAAAAGTATATAAGGATTAAAACAGGCAGCCAGAAACTGGAATCACAAGATAGCTGAAATTCTGTGCAAACAAGGATATGTTCAAGGAAAGGCTGATCCATGTTCCTTCACACTAATCGAGAAAAACGCAAGAACTTACATAATCGTTTACGTTGATGACATATTAGTCGCGAGCGACAAGTGTGAATCAATTCAAGAAGTTGAACGAATTCTCAAAGAATATTTCGACATTCGAAATCTTGGAGAAGTGTCTACATATCTAGGAATTGAAATTGAAAGAGAAAAAGATGGAAGCTTTAAACTTCATCAAGCTAACACGATTAATAGTATGATCGAAAAATTCGACGGAGAGTCACCAAAAAAACTAAGCTATACACCCATGACTACGAATTTTACGAAGAACCAAAACAACCAAGATGATGTTTTTCCCGATAATCGGAAGTATAGGGAAGCAGTGGGAGCACTTTTATATTTAGCAACAGTATCAAGACCTGACATAGCAAATTCTGTTGGAATACTTAGCAGAAAAGTAGAAAATCCATCAACATCGGACTGGAACGGTATCATTAAAATCATACGATATTTGAGAGCGACAATTAATTACAAATTACATCTAAAATCCAATGGTGCACCAGTCATCAAAGCTTACAGTGACGCTGATTGGGCAGGAGATACCTCTGACAGAAAATCCACATCCGGATATATATTTCAAATAGGAAACAGTACGGTATCATGGGGAAGCAAGAAACAAAACTTGTGTCGCCCTATCTTCGACAGAAGCCGAATACATCGCTCTAGCCTTAACATTGCAGGAGCTACAATGGATTAGACCAACTGATGGGAGATTTAGGTTTCGCTCAACAGGAAGCTAACATCGTATTCGAGGACAATATATCATGCATAAATCTTTCCCGAAAAGAGAAAGGAAGCAGTTACACCAAACACATCGATGTGAAATATCACTACGTATGTGATCTACAAAATCAAGGGATTGTTAAATTAATACACTGCAACAGTAAAATGATGTATGCAGACATGTTCACGAAACCTTTGCCCAGACAACAGCTGGAATTTTTATTAAAAGGAATCGGCCTTACTTCGGACAAAACAGCTCATCGAGTGGGAGATTGTGGAGCAATTCATAATGACAGCGATGAATCTGTACACTCTGACGTTAATATTCACCATCCCTCACCCCCGCTAACTGTGATTGGACTTGATCCAAAAAAAAAAAAAAAAAAAAGGAAGGAGAAACATTTTCTCCTTGTATGACTCACTTCTCGTGTTATGCAACGGACAGTAAACAACGCTTGTAATCATCACTATATTTTTTTTCTTCTAATACCTAATAAATTTGTTATTTTGTGTTTGCTAATATAATGATCGTGTTCCTTACATCGGCAGCTTGGATTACACTTTATTAAGGTAAGCACTTTAATTCTGTTTTATTCATCTGCTCGTCTCGATTTAGCAAAGTTGTAACAGTAAACAAAAATGAACCACGAATACCTTCAACACTTTTTACATAGATAATTAGCCCCTAATACAATGTTATTTCATGCAAAAAAAAAAAAAAAAAAAAAGGTAAACCTTTAAGGTAATTCAAGATGTGGTGGGATACCGCTTGTCCCACCGTGCATCCAGAGCAGTAAATTCTCCTATCATGCTTGTCTAAAGTGCTAGTTTTAGCAACCAAATGAAAATGCAAGATATAAAAAACGTTTTTGAATAATTATCTAGAAAATATTGATCATATTCGAAAAAAAAAGTACTTAAAAAATTACATAATTTTATAAAAAATAGCTCTCTGTACGACTTTTTAGATATTTTTTTATGATTTCATAATAGATTTGAAACAGAGAAGATTTTCACTCCAGTACTTTATTTGCTACAGGTTTGAAAAGGAAGATATTTAGAAGGCCTTTATGTTTATTTACATTTCACCTCTCTTTCCTGTGCTTAGGATATTTTTCTATGGTGAATCACACTCGCATATCCATTCAATATTCAATGACATTTCATGTTACAGAGTTATATTTTCATTTCTTTTGAAAAAAATATTAAATATTTTTCAAGTTTTAACATTATTGCAATTTATTAAAAAATATAAATGTGCATTATCAACATATAAAACGAACATACTTGAATTTAAAAATATTTGAACGGTGCTGCCATCTAGTAGTAGCAATTCCTACATGGGCAGTGGGACATATACGGTCCCCCCTTTTAATTTCAACCATTCTTGATTAATATATATGAATTCAAATAATAATATTTATTAGAAAAGGAAGCTTTCACATAAAAATATTCATTCTAACACCAAGAGTTGTTGTTCAGACACTTTAAATTGCATTAGAAATTAAGAAAAAAAAACTGCTTCAAAATTTGACCTGCAAAGAATTTTTATTTTACATTATTTCCATGAATGAATACTAGTGATGCCATCTGTTATACATTTACAGAACTAAAAGGTGTAATTGTACTATGTATTTTAAATGGAATTTTGCAGCTTTCATCTGGGAAATAAAAACTGATAAAAAAGGTGGGATACCCGTCAAAGGGTTAATACTAGGAATACATTTTTCATTTCATAACAGATTTTCTAGCCATTAAAATAACTGCCAAATTCACAAAAGTAAAAATCAGAAGATTTTTTAAAAGCAAAGCAAAAAAATCAAAAATCAAAAAATGATTTTGAAAGTTAATACATAACTGAATTATTTATTTTAAGCTTAAACGCATAATTGAATATTTAAAAGTTTACATATAATTGAAAGTTAGCACATTACTGAATATTTTGAAAATCTGTAAAAGAATTATAGATGTAAAAACAGTTATGATACAAAATTAGATAATGTTTTAAATAGCTACAGTAGCATTCTTACTTTTGCCAACAAATAATTCAGAACCTCTGTTTTATAACATTTATTACGTTGCTTAAAGTTCAGATTCAAGATATTCAAAAATCATCAAAATGAAAGGTAAAAACTGTTTAAAACATAACAGATAGATATAAAAATATTTCATTTTAATAATTTTCTTTTCAAACATTTAATTTAAATATATTATTGCAATTTTAATTATATCATAACATCATTACATTCGTTAAAAAAAAAGTCACAAAATTTGCAAATCACTGAATTAAAAGATTTTAGGCAAACTGATTTTAAAATTGTCAAAATACTGATAAATCCCCAAACTTTATAAAGTACACCAAAGAATTTATACCACAGAAATGCCAAAAGGTTATTTTTTGTTAAAATGTAGAGAATGAATTTAAGATAGTGACCAGAATTTCTAACCTTTAAATATAAATCTCCAAATTGCCACAGTTTTTAGTCAGTTCCGAAAAATATTGCAAAGTTCATAAAAAAAGTAATTTTGGATGTAAGATTTAAAAACTAAAGCAGTTTTCATAAAAACAAAAAAATCATGAAAGTATGGAGATATTAATTAATAAAGAGTCTATAAATCTTGCTAGAACCTACAGTCCAATAAAGAATTGTCAATCAGAGTTGTCAACATTTTTTTTTCAATTTTTTTATCTGACTGGTCATTTTTACCCCAAAAGAATGTCCCCATTATTCCTAGCAGCTTTGGAGAAAAAGCAGCTCTTTGCAAAAATAGGTAGATTTAAATTATTAGTTTATTCTAATAACAGCAGTTTTTTTTTCTTTTCTTTTTTTTTTTTTTTCCAGAACATCCTTCTCCTTTTTGAGGGCTCTATTCATGTCTTTCATTATACCCTCTTTGATTATTATTGATTTTGAAAACTCTTGATGGTAATGAGTGGAAGCCTGACCTTCATAAAATTTAACTTTTGATTTTCCTGAAAGCACATGTTTGCCACAGTATGTCAAAACATTTTTGTAATATAGAAATTCAAGAACTATAGCTGAATATTCTCTGAATTTTAGATCACGCTCAGGGATGAATTAGGCTTATTGTCTCACTAACATAATGTCAAACATAAGATAGGCTATCCAATAGGGGTATAATGCTCATTATGCAAGCCACAACTGTATATGCTATTTTATGTATAGTTGCAGAAATACATTTCATATCTAGAAAGAGGGAAAAAGTACTATTAAATTATAATTTTATTATGTAAGTTTTGTTCTTACATAAAGGCACTGACAATTTATTATGCATTGACAGTTTATGACTACACCTTTCAGTTATACATAAGCAAGTAAGACTTGACTAAACTATGAACAGAAATTTAACATACTTTAGTTCTAAGAGCCCGTTTTTTCTCTCGATCCTTTTCACCTGTAAAATATTTGATATTTAAGCAAAACTGCTCCAAGAACATATTAATTTCACTTGCAATTTTTAAAATTTAACAAATTCACAGAATTTATTGTAGAATCAATAATAAACTTCCACAAATTAAAGACTGAAAGTTATCATCACATACACATTATTGTACACATTTCATTAATATTCTCTACATCTCACATATTTGAAAATGCTTTTAATGGATATTTTTCAAATCTTTGATGATGGCTTTAACCCTTGAAAATGCATTTAACCTTTGAGTAAATAAACAAACAGCAAAGCAAAATATGAATAAAAGAAACTGCTTAGAAATTTGTATGTATTAAATTATGCTCCTGAATATAGCTTATGTTAAATAACTGGATTGAATTAATAGGAACTAGATATTAATTTTAAAAAAAACATTTAAAACATTTATAAATAACTGGTTCAGAATGTTCACTCTCATAAAAAATCCGGTACTTAACGTATTAACGCAACCAGGCCAAAATTCGCATAAATCGCCAAATTTGGCGACCCTACTTATGGCAACCCTACGTGTTATACGTAGTTTTGTAAAAAGAATTTATTTGTAAAAAGAAAAAATAACACTGGGCGTGTAATACCACAGCAATGGGTTTTCGGCGGAATTTGCTGAGAAAAGCAAGAGACTTTTTTGGTTACTGTACCTAACAGAAGCGCCGTTACCCTCATGGAAAAAATTTGCGAAAATATCAAGGAAGGAAGCATCATTTACTCAGATTGCTGGAAAGGATACAATACAAGTGAGTTCGAAAATGATGGATTTCTGCATGGAACTGTTAATCACAAATATAACTTTGTGGATCCCAACACGGGCGTTCACACACAACATGTAGAGCGCATGTGGGGCTCAGCCAAATGGCACAACAAAAAACAGAGAGGAACAGCCCGTCATCATCTTGACTCATACCTTATCAAATTTATATGGCGCCAAGCTCAAGCTGTTAATGGCGAAGACGGTTTTCAATCAGTGCTAAAAGCAATAGCCAAAAGATTTCCGCCGAAAAAATAATTCTGCAACTTATTCAAATTCGAAACCAGAAGGGTTTAATTGCTATTTTATATTTTAAAACAAAATAATATAAAAAACTGTATTAAAAATTATCTGTAATTAATAAATGTACATTTTCTTTCTATTGATACTTTTTTACTCAAACTTACAAATCGCGCCAACCTGGTTGCGATAATACGTAAATACCAAAATCCAAAGTTTAAACCTATAGTGAAAGTTACAATTCCTAAAATTCTCAAAACATTTAAGAGATAATCAATTACATATGTTTTATTATGTTTTACTATAATTTTAAAATTTATGTACATATTAAGATGAATCAGGGGCGTAGCTAGAGTTTCCAGCACCCGGGGACAACTGAAGAATTCGCACCCCTTTCTGTGCGCCAAGAATGGAAAACATTTCATTAAAAAATTTTGTAGCATCAATTTGGCGCCCCTTGAATGCTGCACCTGGGGACAGATGTCCCCCCTTGCCCCACCCTAGCTATGCCACTGAGATGAATTGCAGAAGTTTGTTATGAAATTGTTATAAACTCATAATCAATATTCATTATGCATTAGTAATTCAACGATGAGGGAAAAAAGATAAATTTACTGTAAACATGTGGAACAAGGTACTCTAATGCTTCACTGTAAAATTTTATTGCTTTGTCAAATTTGCCTGCAGCATCTGCTTCAACAGCCTGTTGAACAAGATTCACCTAAAAAATAAAACTACTGTTATTATATCTTAGTATGCTCATTACATTTCAGTTCTTTACACTTGTTTCACTTTATGAATTCTAGCCACCCCTATCAACATAAGGTGGTTGGTACAGGCTAATTGGCTAATACACCATTCTTGATTAACAATTATAAATTTAGCCAATATAATACTTAAACCCCACCAATGGACCTGAATTGGAATCCTAGATAAGGCATGGACTTTTATAACCATACAGCATCTTTGCAACATGAGGTAAAAACATATTTTAAATGTCCACATTTTGCAAAGATGCTGCTGTCATAAATTTGCACGTATTATCTGTGGTTTAAAGCCTGACCTATCAATGCATTAGCCAGCATTTACCATCAAGACAGCTATTCTATGCCCCGAGAGTCACCTTCAGTTTGTTGGTAACCAGACATCGCTACTAGTGGAAACCAGCTTTATACAACATTGCATATTTTGCAAGTACAAAACTGGTAGAAAATGCAGGAAAAATGGTTGGCATTTTATCAATCAGATTTGTACAGTAAGAAGTTGATACCAGATCTGTATGCATTTTTTCCACTAATTTTTTCATATTTAAACGAAAAATATAGTTGCAGATTACTAAATCAGAATCGAATTTATCAAAAACATGACAATGCATTCCCTCTTCTTGAAAATGTTTGTACTGCATACTTCAGACTGAGAAAATTTGTCATAATAATATGTGCTGAGCTGAGAGAGTATTTGGAGCCACATTAAGTAAATACGACTATACTGAAAGAAACATAAGCTCTTTATATGTTTTCTGAAATGAAATACAGTCAAAAGTCTTTAATCCGGAATGATCTATAATCCAGACTTCAAAGCTACAAACTTTCTGCGCATGCACATATGCATTTACGCATGCGCATAATATGTTTACGCATGCGCGTTTAATGTATAACGGACAGTATAAGCTAAGCTAAATTATCTAATTATATATTTCAGTTAATGTTGCAGATTGCGTTGTTCCTTAATCTTCCAATTGGATCTGGCTTATTATTTTTTTGCAGACTGTTAAAACAATTTTATAAAAGTAAGCTTGAACTTTCGATTATGTCAAAAAGAATTTCCGATTTTGGAGCTGCCAAAGGATCTACAAAGCAAAAGCATGTTTCGATGTCCATCAAACAAAAAGTGGAATCACTGCAAAAAATGGATAAAGGCATATCCTTTATTTCTCTAATCATTCCGAAACCTGTTTAACAATTTTACGCTGCTCTGCGGGGCGGGGGGAAACGTCGTGGCACGCAATGAACTGGAGATTGATCTGTCAGCACTATCCTTATCTTCAGGGCAGATGTTTTTATTTTATTCGGCTTATAATTCCTTACTAAATGTAGTATTTCATCTCGATGTACTCCATCTTTGATATGATTTAAATCAAATTCCTCGTCATTATAAATATCACGAATACGCATTGAATAATTTTCTGGTTGCAATTTTCTAATTTCGACTATGCATAATGTATGCTTTACGCATGTGCGCGTTGAAAGAAATGTTTAATAATGTAAACAAATAAATATTAAGCTTTTTTTTTTTTTGTAAATTTTGATGCCCTTTAGAGTTATTTTATTTCATAAATTATGGTTTCATATTTTTAATTTTATAATTTCTGCATGCCATCTTACCAGATTTAAACAGATGATCTATAATCCGGAAAAACCGATAATCCGGAATCGCTGAAGTCCCGACGAGTCTGGATTAAAGACTTTTGACTGTATATATATATTTCCCTTTACGGTGTAAGAGATTATATTTTTCCAATTTTCTGTAAAATATTTTTACATATATTTTCATCAATTAATAATACACAGACATCCACGAAGAGTAACTAATTTATGAGCAACAAAGATTAAGTTACTTTTAAAATATAAATGTTGAATTACCTTATGAAGAATACAGTGAAATCAATAAGTAATATCGGAACTTTTCCATTTTGCCGCGCAGACAATAAAGTCGCCGAAAATGGTACAACCAATGCGAAATGGAATATTCTAGTTGGTAACCTTTTATGCCTCATTTTTAAAACAAGTCGCAGCCATTTCTTATCAGATTGATTGTTTTTTTCAATACTGGCATACAATTACATAAAAGTTTTATCAAATAATTCTATTTTATGCCGTAAGGCCACTCGTGGTAATTAACACGAATAATTATTAATAAGGATGCAATTAAACTGCTCACCTGAAGGCGAAAATATAGAAAAGGCAAAGTCAAGGGTTAAATCCATCAATTCTAATTAGAATGCACTAGCGAAGTGAAGCACTGAGGTTTTACATAATTTCTGAGAAAGCTATTCGTACGAACTAAAATAATTCTTGCATTTAAACTTGTATTCCAAATTAAGATTTAATTTGGAATTTATGTAGATAATTACTGAATTAGATTTTTGTAGCATAGTTTACGTGAGACATCTTAGAGTCATGTCGTATGAACCGACGAATCAGGATGTTGTACCATGAATGCATAGTAAATTCTTAAATTAATGTCTTTTTACAAATTTATTGTCTTTATTTATTGGCTTTTTACAAAATTTTAAATGATATTAAAATGCTTCAAAATAAAAAATTCTTAGAACTAAACATTCATTAACATTTTTTATGTGTATACTGTGTGTTGTCACCAATAAAGTCTGCTTAGCAAGATTTGCTTCGGCGAAAGAGAAAAGTACAGTAATATCTTTCATTATTAAGCAAAATTCACACTACTGCAATACACACACACACACACACACACATATAAATTTTTTATAACTATTACGATACTTTTACAAATTATTTTTATTTGTATTCTTAGTACAATTTAAAACTATTTATCAATAGCTAATAGTATGTTTTGTTTCAAATAAAATATTGATGCCACCAGTTTAAATTAAAAAGCTCTTTATAATTTTTACCGGGGGGGAGGGTTAACTATGAAAATAAATGGTCACTGTATCTTTTAAACAGATTCATTATTTATTACTAGTAAATTATTAAATGATTAAATTTTTTGACAGTGAGAGAGGCAAGAGTTTTAAAAACTGATAATGAACATTTGACATATAATTAACGAGACCTATTAATACTAATGAATTATAGAAATATCAGTAAATTTCAAACTTTGCTACTTGACTGAAATGATATTTGCCTACAAAATACTTTTATACATAATTTATAACTGTGCAACTTACTGTTAGGAGCTAAGAATTTTTAACAAGATGATACTATATTGCTATTATTATATTGTAGTGTAACAATATTATAAGACTGAGGGTTTTTTCATGAAATAATACTTTTTTATCTATCAGTATTAAAAAAATATTAATTGTTTGTCTGAAAACTATATATGTATAAGAATTAAGTGTTTATAGTATACTAGTCATTAATTTTACATTGTAAAAGAGATGCTGTTTGTTATTACAATTTTCTATTATAGTGTTAGATATATTCATATAGATATGCATTTTAATATGATATATTAATTTTATATGACATTTTAATACATCAAAATGATAAAATGTGGGTTGTGCATTTATCCTGTTTTACAAAAGGGCTGATTATCTGATACTCTGTAACATGTTTTAACTCCTACTGATAATTTCATAAAGCTTATTCAAACACATAAAATGCCATGTAAATGAATAATCATAAAAATGTTGTTTTAAGTAAATATATTTATCTGATAATAAATAATTCAAACAGGAAACAGAAAAATTTCATTGTCAAGACTCGAACCACAGATCTTCCAGTTGCCAGTGGAATATTCTAACCATTTACTCCACGTGAGCATGCATGGCAGAATTTGATAATCTTTATATTTTCCTTATTTAAAGGGTGACTGGGAAAACACATTAGCTCTATTCGACCAAATCGGACTCATATTTTAGTTTGGGTAGCACCCGATAATTATAATATTAAGCATAATTTTTGATATATCCGTAATATGAGAAATCAATGAGTTTATGCTGGAATTAAAACCTCAGATCTTCCAGATGTCAGCTGGATAGGATAACTACTTATATCATACATAGAGGAATAGAATAATTCTTTGGAACTATTAATATAAAAGATCACATGAAAAATATATTGTACAAAAAATTTCTTTGAAGTAACTCATATATAAATTAAACTTAAAATTCATAGGATTTCTTCAATCCTGTACACTTATAAATATATCAAACAATGCCAGATTAATGTATCATAATTGCTAATTTTATATACCATTTCATAAGTAATACACAATTGCCATAATTTCAGGTAGTTTATGCCTTACAGTTTTTTGCTTGTGGATCATATCAGTATTTCCATAGCAAATGAATTTTGTCTGCCAGTCAGTCAGTCAGTCTACTGCTAGCAGAGTAGTTTCTCATGCTATGTGGACGGTCAGGGTTTTTAAATTTTTGCAGTTTATTCTAAAACAGAATCTCCAGAATAAAGTTCAAATATTATAACACTATTGAGAACTTTTCCCACAATTTCTATAAACACTGCTGGTTGTGAGAAGGTTTTCTAAATAAAAATCTTTGGAAAGTATTTTAGAACAATAACTGTTCACTTTTCCTTTAAGAACTATAAACGTTTATGCATTTAAGAAATCTTTCTTGATGGGAGAAAAATATTACTAAAATCTCAACTGCCACAAGCTTAAATAAATATTTCCTAGAACTTTACCCACCATGCACTATAAATTGCATCACTTGTCAGTACTATGATTGGTCTAATGCTGCCTGAAGACTTGTCCCCACCCGATGAAGTCAAATGGACTCAACCGCCTATCAACAAATGACCACATAATCGGGTTTTTTTTTTTTTTTTTTTTTTTTTTTTTTTTTTTTTTTTTTTTTTTTTGTCAATATTGTTCACGTTGTAGTAGATGACATTTAGTGATCTTAGAATAGGTGTCCAGTACAGACCAATTAGGCTAAATATTAAGGATGTAAAAGTTAATGAATTTACTACAATATACATATTAAAATAAAAATATATAGAAAAAGAGCTTGCAACTGATTGTATCTGTTGATAATTTATTTTGAAAATCAAATATTTAAATTAAAATTTTAAAAGATGAAGAAAACATAAATATAGTGACTGCTATATACAGTACAAATCCAAACCACCAGAAAACTTCTTTTTAGATAAATTTTTGCATACTTTACACATGTGCATTTGGTATTTTATCACATTAAAACATCTGGAGAGTTTTTATTCTTAATTCCACTTCAACACTTAATAAAATACCTCCATACCTAAAACCATTCATTTTTTTAGCATAAATCAGTTTGAGCAAAAATTTAATCCATAGCTGCCTCTTTGCTTGGCCATGGAATATAAAGCTAGGCATGGGTTTGGCATACATCTCAAACCAAAGCATTCCGCATTGAAAAATTGTTGATTTTACACTTACTGACTAACTTACAGACACCTGAGGCCAACCTGGCGAATCATTATTTATTTTTTGCTTTCACCATATGACTATTAATGCATGGCAGCTTAAGAAATAACTCTGCAGCAATGTGTAATGTTTTTTTAATTAGTAATTGAATATCAAAGAGTATGGTAAACTTTTATGTTGACATTTTGCTTAATGATGACTACAGACTTCAGCTAACTGCACTGAGAAATGGTGAGTGTTGATGAAGAAAAATTTAGCAGAACTTTCTTCCCAAAAAGTAGATGGCATACATCTCAAACCAAAGCATTCCGCATTGAAAAATTGTTGATTTTACACTTACTGACTAACTTACAGACACCTGAGGCCAACCTGGCGAATCATTATTTATTTTTTGCTTTCACCATATGACTATTAATGCATGGCAGCTTAAGAAATAACTCTGCAGCAATGTGTAATGTTTTTTTAATTAGTAATTGAATATCAAAGAGTATGGTAAACTTTTATGTTGACATTTTGCTTAATGATGACTACAGACTTCAGCTAACTGCACTGAGAAATGGTGAGTGTTGATGAAGAAAAATTTAGCAGAACTTTCTTCCCAAAAAGTAGATTTTTGTAAATTATATTCATATTCTAAAAGATTACATTTTGTGCTGTTTAAATTAATAATAATTTATTTGTGATTCACATATGTCTATACATGAGTTTATATGTAAGTTTATTTATTCACAACTCGAATATATGAAGGAAATAGACTAAGTATAATAAATATCTAAATGTAATTCTGACCTAACTTTCTCAGGGTGCAATAGAAGGAAGAGAAAACTAAGTGAACACTACATCTCTAGTTGTCAATCTCATGATGTATCACCATTAGTATATAGCAGATGCTACTAGTTAAGCTTGACGACAGCCATGCATTTGAAGGTTTTTGAATATTGCAAACAAAAGGCAAAATTTCCCAATGAATAGAATTTGTGAAGATATATGGAGAAGTGGTAAAAAATACAGATGATATAACAGAAGTTTTTCAATATGATGACAATGCCCCAATCATCAATCAACTAGCGGCTGCAAAATCTTTCTAAATCCAGAAAATATCACTACCAATGATAGTAAAGAAATTGCTGAGAATGAAAATTATTTCCACTGATAATTTAGTTAGTCAACATAGCAGTTACAGGACTTGAACAATGTAACTTAGCAATGGAGCAAGAAATTATGTCTATCTATACAATTAAATAGAAAGTATTAACACACACACGCCCAAAAAAAGAAAGAAACAATTTAAACAACATGTTACATAAAAAGAAATGGAAAACATTGAAACAAACTTTGCATTATATCGACAAATATTTCTTTCAACATTTCACTTAAAGATATGTTTTGAAAAAGCAAATGAGTAAATGCTGCAGCTTTTGATTACCTTAAGCTCATAATTGCTTCAATATTCCAAAAACCACTATTTCATATTTTTAATTTAATTTTATAGTTTCTACATGTCATATTAGTAATTAAAACGGATGATCTAATATCCAGAAAATTCCGAAATCTGAAATCGCTGATGTCCTGATCTTGGACTTTGCACTGTACATTAAAAGTTACTTTAAAAATATTTTAATATTACTTACTCCTTTTGTGTATGTTTCTGCAGTTGGCATGTGCTCTAAATCAACAAATGGATGATTGAAAAACTCTTCAAAACTAAGTCTTTTATTTGGATCCCTTTGCAGCAAACCAATAATAAGTTCACGACATTTTTCTGAGATTTCAGCTCCATACGGTATCTGAAAAAAATTAATAAAATCTACTTCATCCATTTTTCAGCTCAAATTATATCAAAATTTAATCAACAAACTATGCAGTTATATACTTTTATTTGCCAAAATTCGGTATCACATAAAGCATATTATTTTAACTGTATTAACATTAAGTACTATCAAAATGTTTTTTAGTCTTAATATAAAACAAGAATAAAGAATAAAATACTTTACATAAACAGAAATCAAATAAATATCAAACAATTTGTTATAAAACTAGATCAAGTTTAATCAAATTTATCTCATTCAGAATATTAATTTCTTCTTTTTTTGAGACACTGATTTACACAAAAAAAGATATTTAAGATAAAATTTAATAATTTTATACTTATGTATAAGAAACATGTAACATACATATGTAAAATCCCTTTGTAAAATATTATTAGTACTGAAATATTTTATTAATAATTAATATTAAATGTAAATAACTTTTAATAAGATATATCTAACGCATGACTTGCTTAGCATTTTAATGAAAATTTTAAATTATGTTTAAAACTGAATTTTTATTAAAATTAGTTTCATAAATAAAAATTTATAATTGCAATAATTCCTCACTACAATAATTTCAAATAATTTTGGCCTTTTATGGAGGCAGTCATCTCAGAAAGATGATATTCAATACTAGTATTTATATATGTTTACAGAAATACTGGTTACATGCAGAGTTATTTACAACAGAACACTGCTACAAGAGTGTTCACTGCATTTAATATTACACTGGTCATCAAATTTGAAGGATAATGAGGAAAAATACACTAAGTTAATGTTGCAACCAATACCTATTGCTGTAATTATTTATGTTAATTAAATTACAACTGAACACAAAATTACACTTCTATGCATATGTTAGTGACAGAAATATGCAAATTCAGTGACTGACAAGGTAGTGTGCGATGGACACATGTTGGAATTCCATTCTGTAGTGTTATTTAAAGTGAATGTGGTTTCTAAGAAAAATCAGTAATCAGTAGCTATGGCTCAAAGGCATCATTTGAGTGAAGATCAAAATTGGCGAATTATTGGTAGAATTAAGGGAGGTCAAACACAAATGGAGATCACCCAAGATTTGAATATCCCTCAAAGTGACATATGAAGAGTTTGGAGCCACTTTTTAAGCACTGAATCAGTTGACAGACAGTCCCGTCAAGAGTGACTAAGCGCAACAGTAGACCGTTTTCTGCCATTGTCTGTTCGAAGAAACCATGAAGTGACTGCAACAGATTTGGTTTTAGACCTAGTTTTTATCAGGACAGAGGAAGAAGCATGCAATCTGCCTTCCATTGTCTATGAAATAGCATGTTTCCACAACCGTGGTTTAATGGCTTGGGGAGGACTCATGATAAATAGCTGCCCCAAACAGCATATCTTTCAAGAAGATTCTGTAATTGCTCAGAAATATGTGGACAAGGTATTGGAACCTCAAGTTACACTAGCTAAGAGTTTTTGCTAATGGATGACAATGCTCGGCCCCATGAAGTATATGAGGTGTCAGAATACCTGCAAACAGAAGATATCATTTGAATGGATTGACCACCTTACTCACCCAACTTGAACACAACTGAGAAGATGTGGGATGTCTCCCAAGTAGCACATGACATAGCAAAGAGGTCTGAGAGATTACAAAATAATCATGGTAACTTTTAAGATGTCTTTACAACGCAGCGAAGACGCAAAATATTTGCTGTTGCATATTGGCAATTTGTCGATGCCGCTGAAATGTCGTGATATGACAGCTTTTAATCATGATTGTTTTAGCATTTTTTCCTTGGTTCATCAGCATGTTTTTTAGAATGAAAACATACAAAATCTGCCCTTTCAATAATCAAGTCCACATAAGATTTATTTTGTAACTTTTCATTACTTTATTTCATCTAAATACATTAATCTAAGATAGATGCATCTAATGAACTATAATATAAATACTTTTGAATCATTAAATTTAATTAGTATTAAAAAATACGTGCTAAATTATTGTTCAAAATTTTGTTAAAATAATTAATACTTAAAATAATTTTTATAAATATTACAACAAAATATTTAAAAACGAAAATAATTTGTAAAGTAAGTTATTAAGTTATGCATTTTATATCCTATTATAAAAAATCATATTTCTGAAATCAATGTAAATCACATGTTAGCAATTATTTCTTTACTGAAATAAAACTTTATTTATTATTTTTGAAGTAAGGATAAATTTATTTGAATTAATATGCAGACATAATATGAAACATTTTATCGCATGCAGTGCAAAGTACAGTTTTCGTGAAGATGTATTCATGGATAAAAATAGGCAGATTTTAAGAATTCCAAGAAAACATCCCATGTTTAAAGACGATGCATATCCATGCATATTTAACGGCTGTCCAATATATATGATGGAAAACTCATCGACAATCAGGAGAAGCAGAATGGAAAAATTAATGGAAAAAGAGAAAGAAATATTAACACTTTTCATGGAAAATGACAAAATTAATGGATTTGATAAATTACTAATAAATGTTGACATCAAAATTAGAGAAACTGTGAACAAAAATACGAAATTCATTACCCATAAAAATTCTGATGAACTGTTTGATATGTTTTTATGTTTTTGTCCATCACCATGCATTAAGAAATGCTTGGTTTAATCCTAGTATATGGTACACTCAGGATTTGGCGACATTGACATTACAAATGTTTTTGCTAGCCCAACAAACATTTTTTTTGTAAATATAATCTTGTGAACATTGTTCGTAATTCTATTCAGTTGAAATAATTCTTCTAGGCCATTTAAAAAAGGTTCTATTAAATCATCAGAAGAACCTTTGAAAGGTTTATTGCAATCATATAAATTGCTGAAAGTTATACTGAATTGCTGTTCAAACGATGACATTCCATGTATATTATTTATTGGATGCTTATATAAACAAACATCTGAGCTCGAGGCTTGCACACTTTGACTAGCTGCCAAATTAAGTTATTAACTGCGCAATGATTTCAGATTCTATCTTATTTTCGGGAATATTTTCTTCACAGTTTTCTAATTCACTGCCGGAATTAGAATCCGTACAGTAATTTCTAATAGCAGATCAAAATTAGTTATCATAATGTCACCAAATCCCATGTGTACTGTATACTAGGATTAAGCCAAATGCTTAAAAATAGATGACAACAAGCCTATTCATTTGGATAAGGTAAAGCATATGTTGAATGCTAAAGATCACAATGTGGAGTAAATTTCAAAATGTTTTAAATTTTGTTGAAAATTTGGCAGATAATAATGATCTTCTTGAAAATAATTTTGAGGCAGCTGTTAAATACTAGAGGGCTTCAATACAGAAAGAGGACAATATACAGGAATATAATGATGGCCAGTTTATTTTGGAGCAAATGAAACTGCAACATCATCCGCGACGAGTTTGCAACGTCACTGCGACTTTGCCGTGCTACTAGGGCTTAGGGTGCTGAAATTCAGCAAGCCAAATTCCTCTCTGAAAGTTCCAGGAGCTGAAAAATGGCATGCAATTCCACAAGACTTGATCAACACTTAAAGCCTATGAAATCAAGGTGTGAGGTGTGCATGTCTGTCCAAGGTGACCATAATGAAGAAAAAATTTTTCCACAAGAGGTGACTTAATTTTTCCATCATTTTCCAATTCCCATAAATTTGATTTTAATTTCAATATTTGTGAATAATCAACTGCCAAACATTGTAACTTATGTTAATTAATGCTTTTGCACAAAATTTCTATTAGTAATTTTTCATTAAGTATCAATTTCATTTTATTTCTGTCATTATCCTTTAATTTTGATATCAAGTGTACTTAATCTACATAAATTCACCAACATTATTTGGGATATATCTATTAAAATTGCATGTTTATTAATTTAGGATCTACATAATGTCTTTACTTTTGGTAATGAAGTAATTTCATTTCATTAAAAACATAAGAGCTGTTTTTAATTCCAAAATTTCCAGTAATCTCTTAATAATAAATCTAATAATTTTTAGATTACTCTCATTTAATTCCTTTCACTAAATTTTAAAAAAATATCTTTTTTGGGAAAAGAATATTTTTGCACGCAGAGAAGAAATTTTAGGGGAAATAAAAACTATAACACCTTTTCCATGATCATGTTTTCACTGTATTTAAAGGATTCTACAAATGAAACAGATAAAAATAAAACAAGCAAAGATCAAATTTGATATGCTGTGAGAAATAAATAACACAAAATACAGTACAGTACAAGGTGGAAAGAACAGAATCCATTTCAAGAATAACTAAAATATTTTAAGCTACTAAAACTAAAATCTGAATTTTTAAACTTGTTTCACTGTTTATAGAACTGGAAATATTTTACTCTTCTCTAAAGAAATATGTATATAGTCAAAAGTCGTTAATCCGGACTCATCGGGACTTCGGCGATTCCGGATTATAGATCATCTGTTTAAATCTCGTAAGATGGCATGCAGAAATTCTAAAATTAAAAATATGAAACCATAATTTATGAAATAAAGAACAATTATGATCTAAAGGGTATCAAAATTTACAAAAAAAAAAAAAAAAAAAAAAAAAAAAAAGCTTAATATTTATTTGTTTACTTTATTAAACATTTCTTTCAATGTAAGTTGTTTAAGTTGCTTAGTTTTATGTGTTAATACTTTCTCTTTAATTCTAAAAACAGACATAATTTCTTGTTCAATTACACAGTTCCGCTGTTCAAGTCCCGTAATTGTTGTGCCGAGAATACTGACTAACTTGTCAATCAAAATTTTTTCGTTTTCACTAACCTCTCTGTCACCTTCTTCATGTCTTTATCCATTTTTTGCAGCAATTCCACTTTTTGTTTGATGGACATCGAAACATACTTTCGTTTTGTAGATCTTTTGGGAGTTCCAGCATCGGAAATTCTATTTGACATAATCGAAAGTTCAAGTTTACTTTTATAAAATTCCTCTTAGTGTCTGCAAAAAATAATAAGCC